AAGATGAAATTTCGGAGATCCATTCTTGAATGTCCCAGAATTTTTTGCATAGACTGTATAAACGTCGAGATTTGATATGTGAGTACTTTTTTTTGAGTTTCAGAATGCATTTCTTTTTTCAATAAGATACAATGGCATTTTTTGAAACAGGCGCAAAAGAAAAACACAGTGTGTGTATTCAATTGCTGATTTTCTATAGATGGTTTCTTCACAAGACAATCTTATTCATTGAAGTTAGCTTAAGATTAATAACTTTGCTACTAGCAGAATTCACTATAAATAGATTCCATCTATACGAATCACATCTCCACATAAGCAACTGAATAAAATGAGTTTGATATAAAAAAAATTAATTTTCTTTTTTTACATTTATTTAGTTATTGAGAAGGTAAAATGTTGCTAGTGATAGGTGTTAGCCTAGAGAAAAAAAGAACGATATGGGATATCGTACCAAGATGCTAGGCTACATTGACTGTATTGCTGTATGAACACTTCTTACCAACGATGGTCTTCCTTTTTTTTACAGAATGATATCTGTTTCTTTCTTATTCTACACATGTGAAATAAGTGAAGCAAACTCATTTACCAACGATATATTGGACAAAAAATCAAGTGAAACTAAGGTTTGTTGGTGGTATTGCCAAAAAAGATGACTTTTTTACGGGACATAATAGAAGACCCCCCCTGTTAACTTATGAACGTTAAGACAGAATAGAAGACCCCGGGTCTTCTAATGTGTCGATGGCTTTAATCGAATTTTACCGAATATCAGGAAAAGAAGCTTAAAATCTTTTCTTGAGCACAGTGTCATTAGGATTTCTTTGTTTGACCAATGTTTTTTTTGAAGCACTTGCAAAGTGCTATCGAACCATGGTGAAAATAGTCTAGTTACACTCATAAGATGTATAGATAAAAAAATGTTGATTATCATCAACAATCTGGTTACATTTACATGTGATCGTTATTGACTATTCCAATGAACCTGCTATGCAAGCCACAAATATGTGCTATATGACTAATTCTACGAGGATTCATTTTCGGACACTTTGTATGGTAGTTTGACATAGATAAAGTCAAATTCAACAATCATCAATGCATTTGCTAAATTAAACTAACAAATATTAGTAGAGAATTAATATTCGTCACAAATTTCGAAAAGTTTACCATCAGTTAATTTCTTTTCAGGTATATTATTATTTGTTTATGTACGTTCAACTCATATATCTAAATGTACATTAATATCTCGTTCATCAGTTCCAACTGGTTTTATGGGAATTGCTGGTAATAAAGGTGGAGTTGGTATTCGATTTCGTTTTTATGAAACTGATATATGTTTTGTTAATTCACATTTTGCATCGGGTGATGGACAAACACAACGACGTAATGAAGATTATCATATGATTGAATCACGTATGGCCTTTACTGATGGACCTACGTATTCAATTAAAGATTATCTTTGGTATACACCAACAGCAGCTGGTATTAATGTTCCTAATCCTCAAAATTCACTTACTCCTAGTCAATGGTAAGTAGAAATAAAAATAAAACTCTATTTTGTTATTGATTAGTCAAAGTTAAATTCATATAAGTTTTATGATGACTATTACCAAATAATTCATAAAGTTTCTTAAAGATTATACTTTAAGAAAAAAGAATGTCATATTATATTAATCTTTGATTTTTATCCTCAAGTTTTTCATCAGTAAATATTAATTATTCTAATCATTAATAATAAATAGATCTAAGAATGAAAATATAAAACCATGATTTCGCATAGACTCAACGACAGCTACGAGTTGTTGTCGACTCTCTTACAAGCGCTTTTCAAATAGATTTATTTGAATCTTGGATGAAGAGTCTGTATTAAGATTGAAACAATGTTTTTATAGTGAAAAATTTTGTCTATCTTTAAGTTATGATATATTGTCAAAACAACAAACGATAATTTATCTCACACTTTTTTATCGACCAGGAAAATATACCTTGTTGACTCAAGAGAAGATTTAGCAGATTCTATTTCTCTGATTCTAGACTAAACCAATGAAATCTATGATTATTTTCTATTTATATTTTAACATTGCTGAGAAAGTAGTTCGAAATAATCGTTTTTCGATATTACATACTTTCATGTATTCAGATTTTCTCTTTCGTATGAATAATAAAAGACATCGGTAAGGTTTAAGGCCCCCCTCCCCCTCAAAAAAAGTCAATTTTCGTCAAAAACAGGCGAAATGGAGATAAATGCATGGGAAGATAGCCCGTGATCTGCTCTTTCATAGCTGATAAAAAGTTTTCGTCGATACCACCTTTTTGTCCAAAATTTTCGAAGATTTTCGTCAACCCCTATTCGAAAAACCAGCTGTTTTTTAAAAAATGTTTTTTCGTTTTTTCTCGGTTTATGACTTTTTGATCTTTTGTTCAAGATTTCTCGGTCCAGGCTCATGCTATATGTTTAATTTTTTTTTTATT